ACAACATCAGCCGCCGGGGCATGGCATGGTGCTCTCGCAGGCCGGCACGAAACACATCTCTACATCGAACAACCAACCAATTACACATACATGTCGCTTCGTCGCCAGGAGCGCGTCGACGGCACAGCCTACCCCTACCAAAAACATGAACCATCGCACGGTACGCAGGTGGGGGGGGGCGTGCAAAATAACTCCCACCGTCCACAAACAAAATACGGTAATCAAGGGACGCCGTCGAAAACAACCCCCTCCCTCCCCCCACGTGCGTGCGGTGTCCCCCGCCCCAATCTCTGCTCCTAAAAACACCAAAAACACATTTTTGCACACCAATCGGGGTAGGTAAATAAGTAAACAAGTGACGTTCCGCGAGGCACCCCCTCCTCCGGTCCCCCCAACGACTCGGAGGCCACCCCGGACGACACGCACCCAACGGACAACGAAGAAACACACACACAAATGGGGGACCATCCATCCAGCCATCGTCGTCTACCGTAAAGCACCAGGAGCGGGCGTCGAAGGCGACGGGCAAGTATTCCTTCGCGGCGATGGCAGGTTGCTTCCTTTCCCCCCGCCGCCGCCGCCGCCGCCGCCGCCGCCGCCATCCCCCTTCTTGACTCCTGGTGCTGCTGCTGAAGGCCCCCCGTCATCACCACCGTTGTCCGCGCCCAGCCCTAGCCCAAGCCCTAGGCCCAACCCCCCACCTCCCGACGGCCCTACCGCCGACGCTCGCCGCGGTACTCCCGTCGACTCGCCGCCGCCGCCGCCGCCGCCGCCGCCTCCGCGCTCCTCCGTGCTCATCTCGTCGAACTTCATGAGGAGCTCGCGCAGCTTTCGTAGGTTCTCGAGGTAGTAATCCGCCTGCCGATCGTAGGGACAAAAAAAACGGGGGATCGACAGATCGTTGGACAAGAAGAGGGGTGGGGGGTGAACTCATCGCCGTGCATGCCATAGTCGTTATAAACCATTGACCTCGCATCCCTACAAAGCCGGGACGGAGCACGCCTGGTTCTCACCGGACCAGGCTTGCACATCACCACGCGCGGAGCGCCGGTATCGTATTCGGCGAGTCGCATGGACGGTGGTACCTTGGGGGAGGTGGTTGTTGCTAAAGGTTAAAACTTGCGTCGAAACTTGAGAGGCTGCTGGACACTCTTCGCATCTTGATTGAGGTCGGAGTCGGAGGGGCTGGGGGGCGGGGAGCAGCAGCAGCGAGAGCTGCTGCTGCTGAGGGATATGACCGCACCAAATTTGGGGCGGCACCTCGAGCGCACACTCACCCAGGCAAAAGAGGCGACTTTTTGTGCCGCCTGCAACACACGCGTGTAACTTGGGCGACCAACTACCCCGTGGGTGACGTTAGATACCACACTCCCTGGACAAATTTTCAACGGTCAGTTTCTCCGCAGCAGAAAAAGTGTCAGCGTGGAAAACGGCGGCGATGAAGCCGTTTCGTCGAGAGCTGCCCGACAATGCATCGTTTCATTGCTGCACCCTCTTCGTCGTGGAGTAATCGAGCTTTGAAGATGGGTCCAGGGGGTGTAGTATCTTGCGTCATGTCATCAAGGGCAAACAGCCCGTCCAAATCATGGACAGGACACAGCAGCGACGTCGACACCAGAGCTCGAAGAAAAAACCAACCAATCAAGGAACGAAGGTGTAACACCAACCAATGCACGTCCAAGCCCTCTCCCAAGCAAACATACCCGACACCGACCGCTTCCAGGCCTAGTAGTACCTCCCCCGTGTGCACTTCCCGCCTCAAGGAAGACATGGCGGTCACGTATTCTTGTTGCCTATTTTCGTGTATTTTCCTCTTGTTCTTAGGTCCCACGTTCTGGGCGCTAGCCAGTCTACACCGTTCGGGAATGTTTCAGAAACCAGCAGGGTCACACACAACACGAAAGCAAACACGTGATCCACTTACAACGTATTGGCGACTAACTATTCCAGAATCAATACTTGTACAATATTTGCGGGCAAGGGATAAGGACTTCATGAGCACAACCCTATGGGCATACAACACAGAACACCGATTACAAAGACTACAAGGCAGCAAAGCAAAAAAAAAAAAAAATGACTACACACCAAAATTATATGTCATATTAAGAAAAAAAAAGAAAAAAAAAAAAGAAACTCACGTGGCTGTGCTCGAGACCGATGTGCACGGTGTACACCGCCGCGTTGCCCGCCATCTTGCGGTTGACACCGACCATCGCCATACCCTGCCCCGAGGACGCCACAGAGCCCGACCCAACACCCTGGTCCATTTCTCCTGAACCTGGCGGGCCGTCCGAAAATGGCATACCATCCTGTTCCGGGGGGGTCACGGACGGAGATGAAGGGGGGGGGGGGCGTACTCCCTCTTAATCGTGTTTTGCATGCCTTCGCGGTTAGGCCGTTGACCGCGCGTCCTCGAGAGGATGGAACATTGTTCCCACACAGGACTGATCACCGTGGCCAATCGTTGCTCTTCCTACTTTGCCGAAGGTGATGGGTCAAGGATGTTTTCCCTATCCGTTACATCTTATCGATATCGCTTCCCGCCTTTTCAACCCACTCTCTATGCCCCAGTATAACTACCGTTTTCTCCTGGTTCTTCCATGCCTCAAACACCTCTCTGTACCTTGGGGGGGGGGGTGAGTTTTCTACTACTGCGAGGTACAGCACAGTAGTGTACGAAAGCCGCAACGTCCAAAAGTGTGTGTGTGTGATGCTAGTGCTTGCTTTCGCCGTTTGATCGTTAACCAGGCATCTCCTTCGAGTCATTCTTAACCGCCATCTCCTTCGACTCCTTCGACTTCTTCGACTGACTGCTATTTTAGAACGGGTAGATCGTAGTTCTGTGAACATATGTACAATACAATGTGGTATTTTCTAAAAAACACACACCACATCACGATCACGATCACAGAACCCCCCCCGCCGCCGCCGCACCTCGTCCTCCGACAACACCGGTGTCGGAGCCTCCTTCGCTAGGTCCCTGAACCTCTTCACGGTCTGGAACATGTCCTCGTCGCTCCGATCGTCTCCCACGCACAGGATGAAGTCCACCTCGCCCCTCTGCCTCACCGACTGCTCCGTGGACAGTAGCTTGAGCACTTCCTCCGCGACCATGCTCTTGTTCGCCGCCTTCATTTGTGTGTGTGTGTGTGTGTGTGTGTGTGTGTGTTTTTTCGGGGTTGTTACATGGTTTTGCTCTTTTTCCGTGTGCTGTGCGGCTGTCCTCCACAAAAACCGAAACAACAAGAAAGTGCAACAAAAAGATACCACCCCCCTACAAATATGGAATCGCAATGACGCGTTTTTCTGCTGAAGGTATCACGCAACACCGGAAACACAATCATGAGATGCGGGCGTTTCCTCGATCGCCGGTCGTTGGATGCTTGTGCGTGATGCGTCGCCTTGCCACTCGGTCAATCTCTGCTTCTCGTCTGCTGTGGTGTCGTCGTGTTATTTAAGATTCTATGGATCGTTCCCCATGGCCCTTATCTTCTCTCTCGTTCCCGCTAGTTACAAAACGGTACAGCCGTAAACCACCGACAGCAGTCCCGTTACGGTCTCATATCAAAGATTAAGATCGGGGCAGAGGCCTCCCGTCGTGACAAACAAAGGTGAGGTGAACATGGAAATCCAAGCACAGAATGCAAACCACAGCACACACGCATACAAAAAAGTGGACATGTGAGGGAAGATTTCCAAGCACAGAATATATAGAAATCCACAGCCAGGAACAGAGCGATCTTGTTTATCGAGTAACACATGTTTCAGAAACAAGGCACCAGCTTCTTTATCCACAACAGCACCATACAGCAGCAGTAGCCTGGTGGACAGGGCCTCCATGAGACGGCTGTTCTAGACATAATTACACACAATTTCCAGGGAGAAAAAAAAACAACAGAAACCCAAACGTGATATTCACGTATCGCTGTTGTGTATTCATTATGAAGAATGGAACGTGGTATTTTGTTCGGTGTTGTGGAAACAACGAACACACCTCGCTCGGAAATCAAGTTTTCGCGCATGCACTCGAAGGAAAGGAGAAACCTGTCAAAAAGGAAGTAAGCAAAACCCATCTCTGTAATCAAGCACAAGGTGCGTAACGGGTTTGGTACCGATCTGATCTCTGACCTGATGCCTAGCCTACTACCAAGCCTGATACAAGCAAAACGTCATTCCTGTATCATACACAACGTGCGTGACGCATGTTGGCATCGATCCGATCTCTCACCTGGTGCCTAACCTCGACCATGCGGTTACCCTGCAGGATCTCGAGGGGGAGATTGCTCAACACGTCCTCCATGTGTATCTGCATGTCCTTCGCCTGCCACAGACCGAAGTGCGGATCCGCATCCCGGTAGTGCCACGTCAAGCTGTTGCAGCGGCATCGTTCGGTGGCGGCAGCCCCGTAGATCGTTCACGGGGGGCACCGTGCAGGGTACGGGGGGCACCGACCAGGAAACATGCGATGTCCGGGGGGGACAGCAAGACCGTCATCCAATCATTCCATCGAAATCAACATATTTTCATGTATAAAGGCATCTACATCCGAAGTGTTGCAATGATCCACCGCCGGCAAGGATACATACGGGAGCACGACCAGCAACTCTCTAGCGGTGGAGACACATGTAGTATCTACCTCCTACCTCCAGAGGGAGCGCATCTCCTCTCTCTCTCTCTCTCTCTCTCTCTCTCTCTCTCCCTCTCTCTCTCTCTCTCTCTCCTTCTCTCTCTTTGCCTCTCCCGCTCCACCCTCCCCCCGCCCCCATGTATATCTCTCACTCTGACTACCGTGTGTGCAATTCTCCCCCGCCTCTCCCCTGCCTGGTGCTCCACTCTCTCATTCCTTCAAGGTTCTCAAGGCTCTCAAGGCTCTCACCTCGACTCCTTGTTCTCGATGTACGTGCCGGGCGTCCGCTCGGTGAAGTACTGCATGATGGGCCGGACCACGTCCTTCCAGCTAAGGTCCAGGTCCTGCCCGCTGCACTGCCACTGGGTCGCCTCGGGGAGCCGGTAGTAGAATCCATACTCCGCCGCGAGCCCCGCACGAAGCTTGCCAAGCCAGGTGTCCATGAATCTCCGCTCCCTGTTGGTATATGTTGGTTATTCCGCCGCAAAGTCCAAACCGACATTGAGGGAGGGAGGGAGGGAGGGAGGGAGGGAAGGGCGGGGGCAAGTGGGGAAATATGTTTGTTCGGTCCCGGTAGCATAGAGAGCGATAGCGCCCAGACACCCACAACACAAGGCAAAAAAAAAAAACGATGGGGAAAATCCAGCACCAACCAATATAGTGTAAACGACGGCCTTATCGGGAGACGACAGCGACAACGAGAGGGTGCACCTGCCGCGCGTCGTATCGGGCTCTGTATAAAACCACTGCCGCTCTAGGGGAACACTCTTCGACACGTAGATGCTGCCGGCGCTGTCTTTTCAAGCACTTCTGTCTATCGTCACTTCTCTCGTACCGTCTGAAAATGCATCATGTGTCTTTTTCAGCACACGTGGAACTCAGGACATACAATCGGGATCAAGAAAAACAAAACCAACACTCTTTCTCGAGTTAAAAAATTGAAGGCGAGCACCGCAGGACGGGGCGGAGGGAGAGAAAGCCCTCCTGGTGTGTGACTGTGACTGACCACGGATTGAAGCTCCTACACGGCAGAAATGCTGTGTAAGTGGTGAGAGGGCTCATCTAAAGCGATGGACAAAAACCGTAACAAAAAAATAAGTGTGCCGATGATTTTCCTGCTCCCATTCACAGTACCTTCCCGAGATGATGAACAGCCTGTTCTTGTAGTCCCGGCAGAGCGAATCCAGGAAGTTCGTAACCACCGCGGGGGGGCCCGCGAGCTGCGGGAGGGACTGCAGCGTCGTGAGCGTGCCGTCGTAGTCGCTGATGATGAGTCGGTTCTTTGCTTTCTTGTACGCCTCCAAAACCTGATGTTTTTCGTTCCCGCCGGTACCGCCGTTCGGCAAAAGCAAAGGCGGGACGGAATGACGGAGATGGTGAACGAACGTTCCGCGAAGCAAAGGCGGGACGGAATGACGGAGACGGTGAACGAACGTTCCGCGAAGCAAAGGCGGGACGGAATGACGGAGACGGTGAACGAACGTTCCGCAAAGCCAAGGCGGGACGGAATGACGGAGACGGTGAACGAACGTTCCGCAGAGCCAAGGCGGTACGACATGACAGCGACGGACATGGTGAACGAACGACTGGACCCGCATGCCACAGGGCACGCGCGACCAGGCGAGGAAGCAACAACAACAACAACAGCAACAGTTGCTCCAAAACTTCGCTTTATGCCAGGATCCGCCAACAACCGGGCCCGTATACACAAGAGCGACCCTCACCTCCTTGATCGGAAGCGTCGGGAGCTTTCGCGTCGACTCCTGCTGGCCGTCGCAGACCTCGCGGAACTCGTGCATGAAAGACTTGGCCCAGAACGCCGCCGTGTGCACCACCACGTACCTTTCGCGGCAACCATCAAAAGACAAGAGATGGGGGATGGAGTGTATGTGTGTAAGCATGTCGGACGGCGGCACACGCACCAAAGATATTTTCTCCAAGCCCGCCCAAGTTTATCCAAGAGGGAAAGCGAAAAAAAGGGGAATGAGGGGGGGGACGCGAAGGAGTCTGGAATGAGAACAAGAAGAGGGGCGATTGCTTCAACCGGAGGAGATCAGGTAGTGGTAAAAAACAGCAGTGAGGAACAACATACAAAAAGCGTTGTCTGGCTGCCCCATGTTGGGGGAACAGGCGGGACGTGGATCATCCTCTTTGTCACCAACATCAATCCATCAATCCAATCCCCCACGAGTGAGCGATGAGGCCGAACGAAAGCGTGGACAAACACACAAACACAAACGGAGGCACCAGCAGCAGCAGCAGCAGCAGCAGCAGCAGCAGCACAGACGCACACAACAACGTCAAGAGACACACGCAGCAAGCGAAGAGCGAAACCATCCGGGATGACGACCACACAAGAGGACTGCTCCTAGCGTGACGCTTAACCACCCGCCGCACACAGACCCGGCAACACGACACACAAAAAACAGCCATCCGTGACGTCACCGATGCCTTCGATGCGCGCGGGCGCCTCGCATTAGACCTCCCTCTGCCTCGCTACCCGTGTACAACGGGTACAACGGGGACGGAGGGGCGAGAAACACACGCCAAGCATGCACCCCACGTGAGCCGACGCTTCCCGCCTTCCCAAAGCTCAGACGAAAACCGCACCCATACTTCCACGGCATCCAGTGTCTGCACACGAGCGACCGCAATACCCCCCCCCCACCCGGAACCCAACACCAACAATAGCAAACAAAAGGGGCTCCGTGTTTACATTTACACCGCACGCCCAAGCAACGAAGAGTAGGCGCCACAAGAGCAGTCCACTCCCCCCCATGGCCAATGGTTTAACCATTAGGGCATGCACAACACGAGGAAGTCCCCCCCCCCCCCCCCTGGGCCTACCGGTAGAGCTTGTGCTGCCGGAGCTCTCTCTCGACGCGGCTCAACGCCAGCGCCTGGTGCATCGCGTTGGCGAGCTCCTCCGTGTTCCAGGGGTTTACGCGTATCGGCTCCGCTCAGAGACTGGGCGCTGCCGGCGAACTCGCTAAGGATAAGGACGCCGGGGCCGTCATCATTGACTCTCGTGGCGGGAGCACCGCCGTCGCCTTTATTGTTTGGGGGGGGGGGAGCGATGGCGTGACAGCAGTACATTCGGCGGCACGGGGAAGGGGTCTGGGGGTTGGGGATTGGGATTTGGGGGGACCGATCAAGTGATCCAGCAATGCTGTGTGTGGACAACCACATAGAGCGAGAGGAGAGCGTACAGAAAAATATATACCACGTACGTTTGTTTTTGTGGACTCCGAAACAAAGGACGCTTTCCACATACGAACTTCAGACCTGCTTGGAATTCGCGGTCCAGCTACAAACAACCAACTGCAGCTACTTGAGCGCCACTTGCTACCCTCCCATACCCAGTTCTTCTCCATTTCTTAGCCCTGTTCCGTTGCATGTGGGTCCAAACTTGAAGCTCGTGCGAAGCTATGGGCGCGTACAACAATGCAGTGCCAGTAGAACGGCACGGAATACGGTCCTGGTGTAAGGGTACCATCATTTTTAGTACCCTAGAGGCAGCAGCAGCAGCAGCAGCAGCAGTAGCAGCAGCTGTAGTACTCGAAGTAGTACAAGCAGTAGAAAAGGTAGATATACCTGATACAGAAGATATTGTTGTTGCTACGGCAGCAAGTACTATCGCACCTGTGACGGTGAGCGGATGCCGAGGCTCGCTCTGCGCTGCCACATACTCGTGCGACACGAGGTTCATGCCGTCCCTCACAGACGTAACTAAACACACGTCGGCAACGTTGTAGATGGCAAACAGCTCGTCCTGACAAACAACAAAAAAAAACAGAAAATTTCAAAGTTAAAATTAAGAACGATGGTCGGCGAACGGACACAAGGAGCGGGGGTTACGCAGAGAGGGTGCGCGCGCGCGGGGGGGGTGGGGGGGGGGTAGACCCGTGATGAAGACGGTGGAAGGTCATCCTGTCAAGACAAACACCACGTGACATTTTGTTCTTCGTCCTCCTAGTGCAGTGGTACAAGCAAAAAAAACACACAGACACACACACACCCAAAAAGCGCACCGAAGACCAAAGCCACCCAATAAAGGAGAAGCACAGATAGATGCTTATGATACACAGAGCAGGGGGCAGGACAAGTTGAACGATCTGGAACTCACAACGCCACCAGCAACAAACGTTCTAAACAACAACAAACCGTCTCATGCCAACCGGCAAACTCCCTCCCCCTTCCGGCTGTTAATTAAATTAGCGCTTGGCTCCTGATGCGTACAGTACCTGTGAGATGGACTGGTTGATGTAGTGCACCGGGCTGTACTCGAGGGTGCCGTAGTTGCCGTTGATGCGCCCGACCAGCTCGTTGACCTGGGACCCCAGATCGCGGTACTCGGCCACCTCCGTTCGAGACGGCACCCCCACCTTCGGGCAGAAGACGTGAGTGAGAGAGTCAGATAGAGGGAGTGAGCTTGTCGTCACGATCCGTGGAAGCCAAGCCACGTTCGGGACGCGGTGTGGCCACCGCAGTATGTAGCAGCTTAGCAGAAGAGGAGTCTTCGGACAAAGGGTTGGTAGGATGGGGTCGGTCGCAATCGGAAGCGGCGGCTGAGGCATCACGCGCAGAAACAACAACAGTTACAGTTTGGTAGAGGAGCATCTCGCAGGAGCACATTAGCATTAGCACTAGCAACATAGCGCATGACAGCTGTGCCTGTCACGGCAGCGTCATCACGTCATCACTGCAGCAGCGGCACCATCTCCACACACCAATGTCACAACGGGTTGCTGTCGTTGTGGCTTTCGTCCCATCCTTTCTGAGCCACACCGTTGGGTATCGATATGTTTGACACACCAGCCAGGGTCAGTTCATGCAGCAGGAGGAAGGTAAACGCAGACCTTTTCCTCTTTTCGATCAGCACGTAGACGGAACAAAGGGCAAAGGAGTAGCGCAAGGACGGAGAGGAGAGAGGGTTGCGTGCTTCCGTGGGATGACTATATAATACCACCAAAATTCAGGATTTGAGGCCATCCCGTTCCGTCCCGTCCTACCCCGTCCCGTCTCATTGCATTCCGTCAACTAAAGCCCATCACACGGCAAGGCCCCTCAACGACATGACATCACACCACACCACATCACATGCGAACCTGAATGAGCGTGACCTTTCCCCGCCAGTCCGGATACCGGTTGAGGAACAGCTCCAGGCCCAAGAGCTGCGCGACGGGGGATGATGGCGACGGAGATCAATTCAGGCAGGCAGGAAGGAAAAGAGACAGGATGTACAAGTACTGTATCTACCTAGGAACGAAGAAAGCCGCAAAATATCACGTGAAAACACCCACAACGATCGGACATACATAACCAAAACAGTGCCCGAAAAATGGTCCGAGACGCACAAAAAACGACTTCTCTGTCTACTTGGGGGGAAAAGACGAGCGGTGGGTGTACGTGAACGGCCACACGTTCTTGAGGAAACCACCAGCAAGAGCACCCGTGGCATAGCTCAGAAGCGGATGTCACTATGAACGCGCGAAACACCCCCCAACACGCAAAGCGTGCGCCGAAGATGGCGGCCCTACCGCCCGCTCGCGCGCCTCGCTCGTCACTACAAACAACCATAGCAACACACGCGCGCGGCCTGATGAGGAAATTTTCGCGCGGCACGTCCGTCAAGGTTGTACAATTGAGTATCAACTATCAGGTCTGCTGCAACCAAAACACCTGATCGCTGTCAAAATGCTGTCGTGGTTGGGACGCGGCGGCTCGCGCGCAGGTCACAGCAACAGGAAGACGCAACCCCGGCATCCGCACTACCACACCAGGCCAAAAGGCCAGAAGAGACCAAACACCGGAGAAGACAACAGACGGGGTATAATTTAGCCGGAACAATCAAACAAAACAAAAACACACACACAGCACGCACACGTGTTTCGCTTCGAAACATACAACGAACACCCAAATTGACTTGCGACAGCATGGCTGATTGCTAACTTATCCTAGACTCGAATATTGTTGTCTGTGGATACAGCAGTAGAGACAAATTCACGTTGTGTTCTTCTCAAGAAAAGTGATCATAACAAAAAACTATGACAGCCATGCAAGGCACCGAACGAAAGAGCGAACCTTGTGCGGCATCCCCTTGATGTAGTCCAGCCTGTCCACTCCTAGCAAGATTTTTCGCCCAGCGAACGTCTCGCTCAGCTACCAAACCGCCGCCACCACCACCATGACACCCACAACCACACCCAAAAGACGTCAAGCCCCCCGACGGTTTCACGAACGGCGGGTGAGGCGTTTACGTGCAGAACAGCGGCCAAAACACCGGGGCAAAGACGGGAGACGACGGGACGATGAAAACACAAATGTGAATAAAAAAAAAAAACAGAGCGGAACATCATGCCGACTTTTCGTCTGTCTCCAGATTGTTCCTATTTCGACGAAGAGGGCAAGGAAAGGGAAGCAACGCAGGCAGGGACGGATGTGTGCGCGCGCGCTGTTTTCCCTCGGACGACTCACCAGAGAGGAGAAAGTAAAAAGCAAACACAAAAGTCAGCATTTCTTAGTCCTACTGCAGCAAACGTGTCGTGTCGGGTGGGACAGCTGAACGGGTCCACCCATCAACGCTTACCCCTTCTATCCTTCCTTCCTTCAACCACCCCTCCCTTCCACGCCGTTCGTGCAGCATACCGATGCGCCCCTCAAGGCAACAACGTACCATCATTTCGTGTTCCTTTCTCACACTGTAGAGAGCAACAGCACTTCAATCCTTTCCCGGAAAGGCTTCGCAAGGGGGAAAAGCCACACTCATCCCCTATCGCAAACTCTCGCCATGTATGCGGGTGCGTCCATCCAAAGATCCGAGAAAAAAAATAGAGAACCCCCCCCCCCCTCCCCCCCCCCCCTCGTCCGCCTCGAGGTGCGAGCCCCCTCCGCCCGTGCGTCCTATCCCCGCCGCCGCAGCCGCCGAGTGCACCTATCCCCCCAATGCACCCTACCTCCGCCTTCCCTTCGGGGCTTCGTCTTAAAATCGCTCACCTCCTTGATGCGGTTCTGCACCCAGGGCTTCCTCAGTGTCTTGGCGACATGGTCCGGGTCTATCCCGATCGGGTACACCCCCAGGGACATGAAGCGGTTGTTCAGCTCAGATGCCTCTTGGGGAGCACTCAACCTCCAGGACTCGACTGGCACGGGGAGGTAAGGAGGGAGGGAGGTATCGTCGGCCAGGGATAGTGCGTGCACATAGATGGGGTGCCGTGCACACACCATGGTGAGCGTAATTGCCATGGCCATCATTGCACGGTCGAATGCAGAGAAAAAAAAAGGGGGGGGGGGGGGGTTGCGATCAACGAGAGACAGCGTGAGGCCAAAGCGACGCCTGAAAGGTAGAGCAACTCTTTGCTCATCTTGGCTTATCGGTCTAGCGATGCATGCGTATCCTACACATAATTTTTCCTACCAAAACACCTGGCGGTCGCGCGTAAAATATGTCTCTAGCCCCCCGCTGCTCACAAACAGCAGTAAGATAAATCAGGAACCGCTGCACCAGGCAGCTGACCCTCCCCCCTCCCTCCACTCCTCCACAAACCTGCATGCAGACAGGAAGTGTCTCGCGTAATCGTACGTGTGGAATCCGACCAAGTCCGCGGCAAGCAGCCCCTTAAATTTCCGAATCCAGCACCCACCCACAATGTATCGCCGCCGCACGTTACAGGTAACCACCGCCACCCCCACGCGAAAACAACAGAGGGCACAAAAAAGGTACATGAAACACAGGGCGGAAAGGAAAGGGAATTGAGGGCAACGTTCGAAAAAATAAAAAGGGGGGGGGGGGGAGACAGAAAGGGAGGGTACGGCGGTCTTTCAACAGGTGCGGGTTCTTCGAAAGACGAAGGGCGCCGGAGCAGGGGGGGGTGGGGGTCAGGTGGGGGCGAAAAATGTATCGAATTGGAAATAAAGCTCAGGACACTAGCTAGACGGCTGCCGTGGACGACACCACGACAAGCACCGGCGTCAGCACGCAACGACAGCAGCCGTGGTCTGTGGGCGGGGAGGCCGTCTAGCTGCTGGCGAGACGTATTCAGCAGCCGCAGCCGCTGTGGCAGCAGCAGCATGCACGAAACAGGGAGCCCGCCCACACGGCGGTCGACGTGTTGGAGGAGGTGCGCCCGAACAGAGAACAGGCAGACAGACAGATAGAGAGAGAGGCACCCACCTGCAGCAGCTGCTTCCTGACGGGCAGGATGCGGTAGATCTCCGAGGAGGGGAAGGGCGTGTGGAGGAACCAGGCCACCCGGCAGTTGGGGTGCAGCTTGCGCAGCTCGTACGGCACCTGCATCAGCTGGTAGTCGTGCACCCACACGTGATCCCCATCCTTGTACACGGAAGACACCACGTTCGCGAACCTTTGATGTTAAGGACGGGGGGGGGGGGGGGGGGGGACCCCCCCTTTTTGGGGCCCGAATTTTTAAACCCCCAACCCCCTTTCCCCCAAAGGGGGGGGGGGGGGGGGGGTACGGGGGAACCCCCCGGCGGGGGGGGGGCCGGAAGGAGAAAGGTTTTTCCCACACCCCCCCAAAAAAGCGTTTTTTTTCCCTGGAAAAAACCCCCGGCTTTTTTAGAAACCCTTTAACCCCCGAACCCCCCCCTCTTGGGGTGGGAAGTTTTACCCCCAAAAAA